GCCTTGCCGTCGAATTCGGACGTTCTGACGGGGGGCGGGGGTGGACCCACCGCCGGCGGTGGAGTTCTCGCTTGAGGGAAACGGCATTAGGCAGGCGGTCGGTGCAAATGATCGAGAAGAGCTATGGATGAATGCCTCACTCGCGAGATGCGACACACGCGAGACTCATCTAAAAAGAAGGCATATTCGCTGCTTCCTGCTGCTTTCTCATTGGTGACAAATGATCGGGCAGCGGTGCCCGTCCTAACCGAGCTCCAATCCATGGGAATTTGGGATTTTTGATCGTATCATACCACGCCGAACGCAAACAGCGCCGCTCGATGCCAATCTATACAACCTGCACTCATTGAGTCCCAGATCATGAACTCTTCGAAGCGGTTTCTGTTTTTCAGCTGTACTGAGACCGCCAGCTAGCTCGGCGGTCGGTGCTCATGATCAAGGAACACACCCTTTGTGCTGTGTATGCGTGTGCTCCTCCTTCCTTGGCTCGGTTCGCTCTCTTGGCGTCATTTGTACTGGAGGGTTGGCAGCGCCACCATCCTGTAGCCAACAACAACAAGTGACAGCGATCCGCTCTAGTTGTTCCGGCCTTTTTCTTTTTCTTTTTTGAAGTCCACGAGGTTTCTGATTGGCCTAATGTTCTGCGTGCCAGCCACCCGGTCCACATGAATCAGATTTCGTACCCACAACGTTCTGACACAATTTGCATGCATGTTCCCCACCACGTCGATGGACGCAGTCCGAGTGAAGCCTCCGGTTTATGTATCTCTGGACTCGATGTTGTAGTCAACGTCCTTAGTTTGACCCAAGCTGTTCCCGTCCTCTCAGAAACCGTTGTCCAATGGCGGGAAGAAAAAACATTCGCAAAAGGAAGGCGGGGGTAGCACCACAGTAAGGAAGGCGGAGAATACAACTCCTTATGGCCTTTTTTGTGTGTGGCCCCGGCTGATGCGTCCAAAATTGTTCCGAGAAGGTGCAACGACCGACGTCCAGAATTCAGGGGCGACTAACAAGATTAGGGCGGGGGGTAGCCTAGAACACTTTTCAATCTCTTGCAGGCGCGGGAGAAAAAAATTGGAGGGGAGATTACAATTGGTAAGATAGCCAACGACGAGCGAACGGTGTCTATCGGGGCCGCGCGCCGACCCTCGTCAATACATACATACAGAGCTTGTGACTTGTGCAGACATCGAAGGGTTTCACCCACCGTGCTCGTGTTTCTGTCCTTCTCCTTGGCATGCGATGGAATGAACGGTGTGCAGGAACGCCGCCCACACGGGCACGGCGGGCGTGGCGCGGACCATCGCGGCGGTGGGGCGGGGCGGGTCAGGCGCGGCCGCAGGGGTAGCGGCAGCAGCAGCAGCAGCGACCGCAGCCGCGGCAGCAGCACCAGCGACTACAGCAGCGGCAGCGAATCTGTAAGTCCGGGGCATGATGCTTGTCTGTCCACTGTTGCACATACATAGGTCGCGCTATCACCCCTCGTGCGGGGCCGTGAGCGAATGGCCCAAAGAGAGGTATGAAGACGAAGAAATCAAAAGGTTCAGACCGCGTCTTGCACTTGGAATATGGCACGGCCAGGGTTTCGGAGCTGCGCGTAAGACAGCTAATACCAGCCTGCCGCATAGCACACGGAATTACCGCGGCAGGGGGATCTTCGAGTTCGTGTACGAACCTCGGCGCCCGAGTGGAAGACTCACAAGTCGAACAATCGACAAGCCTTGCTTTTCCGCCTCGTGTTACTTCAACAAGTGCCAAGCAAGCACGAATGGTAAAAGCTCAAGACATGTCACCATCTGTCTGCAGTCTGCAGATCAATAGTGTGGCCCGCTGCAGAGCACGTGCAAGCGTTGCCCCCCAGTGCCAGGATTAGGCAGAACAGTTTTTTACACCGTCGGATACGTTGGAAGGAACGAGAAGCCATCGGAGATCTGTCCTGTCGGAAAAAGACTCCGTCCTCTCGAGGACGCGTGGTCAGTAAGGAGGAAACGCACCAACTATGTGTCCCTGCGTAAGTATTGCCGTCGCCGTTCATCTATGTATGGTCTGCTACTGCTGTATCACACCTTACACGCAGGGCAGCGCAGGGTCAAAGTGCATGCGACTCGCCAGTAGACTGCAGCTGTCGTTTACGCACCGTTAGCTGTTGGCTGTTTCCCCAACTGCTGCACAACCATCCAATACAATTATTGTACCCCCGGTCCAATTTCGATACGATGCACGTCCGTTGAGTACACATTCACACCGACAATATACCAACAAGCATCAGGGTCATGATCAACACCAACAAACGCACACCACTCAGGACGGGGCAGGTGGCAGGCGCAGGCGACAGCGACGCGGCGGGAGCAAGACGGGGGCCCGCCGCCGCAGCAACAGCAAGACTCGGGGTGGCCCACGCAGCCGCAGCAACAGCAGGACTCGACCTGCCCCGCGCAGCCACAACGACAGCAAGACTCGAGGCGGTGCACGCAGCAACAGCAGGGCTCGAGCGGCCGCGTGCAGTCGCAGCAACAGCAGGACCCGACCTGCCCCGCGCAGCCGTAGTAACAGCAAGACCCCGGGCGGCCCGCGCAGCCGCAGCAACAGCAGGACCCCGGGCGGGGGGCGCCGTGGGGGGAAGCATGGCGATGGGCACAGGAAGCAGGGCAAGAGCGGGAGCGGTAGCGACAGCGATTCGGTGAGACTCTGGATTCCGTTCACTTCGCGTTTTCTAGTAGATCCCCTCGGTGAGTCTTCGTTTCCGCGGCGGTTGCACCCCCACGCGAACCCCCGACATCTTGCCCGAGGTGATGTGTAGCCGTTGTACCCCCCCCCC